TGTGTGTGTGTCTGTGTGTGTCTGTATAATGTATGTATGTGGATGAGTGTGTGTGTGTGTGTGGGCAAGTATAAGTGTGCGTGCAGTTGCGTGTACGCAAGTAAGCAAGCAAGCAAGCATGTGTGGTGTTTGCAAGCAGATCCAGGAGGAAAATCACCATCGCAAAACTTCGCAACCCTGCAGCCGAAAAGATCGGCTTGCCTTCCTCGGTTGCCTCGGGTCAACACGGATTGGTTTGGGCTCAAGCGAACTGAGCTCTGAAGCGTATGCGCATGTCCGTGCCGATTGACGTGCAAGCGGCTACTGCCAAGGAGGTCGAAAAATCTCTGCGAAGTAGGCGCTCGTCTCGAGGAACTGGCATGGCCTGACTCATGGCATGCTCTAGCGACACTAGCTCTGCTCTGCACTCCTTTCTTCCTTATTCGTGGCTTCCGCCGGGTCACCATCAAGCATCTTATGAGCTCGATGCGAACCTGAGATTGCAGACAGGGCCTCGCATTGTCCGGATATTCTTCCCGGCTAAGGTGCCCACCTTGCTTTTCCTGTTTGCGAAAGCCACTGTAGGGTACAGCTCTCTATGCCTTCCATGAACGTCTTCAGTTCCTGTACCCGTCGAATCAACTCTACTTGTCGAGATAGCCTGAGCGTCTCCTTCGTAATGTCCACTCGGAACTGTCCACCTGCTCTTGCAGGGGAGCCGCGAATATCTGCGAATTGAGTTTAGACTGACTTCTCCACAAGCATACTGCCCGCCCCGGTGAACATTACCTTTGTGCTGCGGTTTGCCCATGACAATACAACAGCCTGGCAGGACTGGTGGGTGTGTGTGTGTGTGCGTGTGTAGGGGCTCCGTGTGTACCCTGCTTGCCATTTCGCTGACCCGCAATGCATTTTCATTGCAGAGACACCGGCTTGCAGATGCCACCGTGCATGCGATGGCACTGAACTTTATACCATCTTAGGCCAACAGCGGGACCCCCAAGAGTTCGTCACAATCCTCAGGTGGTGTCTTGCTTTGGACAAGGTGGAGCCAAGGTCAGACACTGTAATGCGTTCAATGTAATGAATGAGGGCTTTCTTGAAAGAAGGCTTTTGGTTTGTCTGACACAGGGTTCGTGGCATGGTGTGACATAAACTTCACGAGGCAGCACCTGCAGCCTGCACCTACAAAATCTCGAGCGAGCATTCCCGACTTGTGCCTGCTGTTCAGGCCTGGTCCTACACGGCGACAGTATCTACTGGTCGAATCTGATCGACTCCCTGCCGGTTGCACGCGATTTGCGGATATTTGCGGCTCCTCAGTTTGATGCTGTTTCCTTGGCCGGAGCAACAGAACGGCTCGCCCTGAAAGAAATACAGAACTGACATGGATTGACACTACAAGGTATCTGAAGATCGAGCTCGGCAAGTTCCCGTGACCGCTCTCTCATTTCGACGTTCAACGCTGTCCAAAACAGGGACTGTCAAACATGCCAGTCACAGCTCTTGAAAGATCTGCTGCAGCGGGACACGGGAAGCCACTGGGAGCCCTGCGACATCTCCGCGAATCGACGGTGAATCTTAGCAGCCCTTGGGAGGAATCGTACATGGCCTCGGGTGATGTCAATGTACCATCCTTGGCAAGTTTTTGGTGCAAATGCTCAGGAAAACATCCAAGCCCACAGCTGTTATGGATTCCTCCTCGCACGTGCCAGAACTTGGCCTCATTGCGTCCGCCAGCCATCTTGGGAAAACAATACGGTTCTGAAAATTTGCCGGACTAACACATCCGAAACCCAAAGGCTTGCCTTCAAAAGGAAACATCCCCCAAAGCACACGTGCGTTTCATTCAACATGTCGTGCCACGCACACGAGTCCGAGGGCACCAAGCACCTTACTCGCAAAGGTCCAAGCCATCCTGCGGACATCAACAGTTTTTGTCCGTACGGCAAAGGCTGACTGAAGTCCCGTGCGCCTGTGCAGCTTCGCAAATGTAGCTTTTGCTGACACCCTTGCTCCGCTATCTTCCGCCCCCTTTTTTCACGTGCTCACCCTGACTTGTCCTTGCTGACTTGCTGTCCCAGGATGTTGATTTCGCCATCGTAGGCATCGCAGACTGCTAAGCTCTCGCACTCCAGGATGTCCACTTCTTCCATTCTTGCCTCAGGCCAGTTTGACTGACTGGTGAAACTGAATCGATGTGTTTGAGCCTCATGCAGCTTTGACTGCTTCTATGAGGATCCGGCGTCTGCCGTCCCGAATCCCAAGCCGAGGACCTTCGGCTGTCAGAGACGTCACGAGATGTTGTCGCGCTTGCCCTGCAACTTGATCGCACCTCACCCCTACCCAATTCCCGGCCCGTCCCCCCAGCCCCGCCCCAGGATGCCTCAAAGGGGTTTGCGGTCAGAGACACCGCTAAATCACAAGTTAGAGATCGATCGAAACGCATGTTGCCACGCGCAAAGCTGTCAGAGAGCGATGTAGCTGATGGGTCGTGTCAGCGACATTGCAAGACGTCCGAGTGTAGAAATCAGGTTGCCAAGGTCTGACTGAGATGATCGGAGAACTGTAAGTTACGTTTTTTTCGGCAAGGATTGATGAATTTCAGACTCAGCGTTCCAGGGTCTCACAAGGAGACCTGTTGCTTTTCAATCCATCCACTTGTTTCGTACTGCGACGGTGGCAATGAAGGAAATGAAAGGTTTAATGCGAGCATTCAACCCCATGCAAACACATTCGGACAATGCCCTGTCTCAGGGCCAAGCAGTGCCCCCGTTTGGACCACAGACATGTGTGAACACGAAGCGCACTTCCCACAGCTCCTGCGCAAGAACTCTTCAACGCAAAGGTGTCCAGCAGGTCTCTCGGTCTGTCCTGCTGGCTTCCGAGGGTCCACTGCACTAAGCGACCCAGGTCATCGTCAACAAGCTGATATGCTTCCAGGTTATCGGCAGACGTATGGACCTTGTGCAGCGCTGAACTGAGACGTCAAGAGGCATGGAGCCTCCTCACAGTAATCATTCGTGCCCTCTGGACGCCTGCTTGCCGCATCGCCGTACAGTCAACGGCATTGTCCGGCGAATGCTGAGATTATCTGCAGAAAGTGCTGAGACTACTTCACGTCCTCCTTCTGAAGATCCGAAGCCCAAAGTTCTTCGGAAATGACGCGCTGCCTTGCTATTGCTGCTACCTACACGCGACTTCTAGTGCCGGCGAGAACCAAGGACAGTTGATGTAAAGATGATTTGGTGGCTCTAACTGGAAATATCTTTCTTCGTGTCTGCGGTTGCGCAACGCCAGCAAGCGAGAGGCGGGCTACACTTCACTCACTTCACGGAGACTATGCGTTCACCAGCGAAGCATGGCGATGTAGCGTCAAGTTCTTTGCCAGCAGGCATGACCACCGCTGACTGTAGCCATGCTTCCCTAGATCAGCAATGAAGAGGCGCAGTCTGTTCAGTTTTGAAGAGGCAGTTGCAATGCCGCTGGGGTCTGGCAGGAGAGGCTTCCTCCGATTTTTGTACATGACTGGTGGCGCTATTTCTGCGCAAGCTTTCTCATATCCAGCTTGGGGACCAAAACCGCCCGCTCGCGCATTGGAGTGGATGCAGCTTGCATATTCGATCTGGACGGGTCCACACGATAGACTGGTGTAAACTGCTGAACCACTGGATGCTGCAAGCTACTTTGAGCACCTTTGGCAGCAGTCTGGGTGAGTCGTGGAGTGGAGATGCAGTCGCTTCCGAGCACCGCGTAACCTGCATACTTTGGGCTCGCTGGAGACGGAGGAGGTGCTGCTGGAATGACAGGCACCTGCGGCGACTCGCTCATTTCTTAGAGAGAGAGAGAGAGAGAGAGAGAGGCAGAGACAGGGCCCCCGCTCACTTCATGGAGATATGATGTCCTGTTATCACAATGACAAAGAACCATGGCCCAGCCTGCCGTTGTCTCGGCGTTTGCTGGCTACTTGTAGCAGAAGACATTCGCGATGCACCTGCTGCATTGGGGAACGGTCTCTCGAGGCCGGCGGTGGCCATGTGGAAAGGACTTCACAGCAGACAAGCAGTTGGTCTTTCCCGTGCGCGAACACGAAGGCCTACGCGCTGAACAGCACACTCGTCTTGTTCGGTCACACCCTACAGGCTATTCATCCCCTTTCCGCACTGCTACAATCTGCAGCTTCAGACTGATTTTGTCCCAGATCCTAGGATGTCCTAGGTTATCCGGACAGCTCGAATACGCGACAACTGACGGCCTGGTGACTCAAGGCTGCGAAGCTGTGACAAGGTGGCTGCGCTAGACTTAGATGGCATCCTTCTTCTCGTTGAAATGAAAGCACTCAACATGTCTTGACGGGCAGCGGGTAGCCTGGTTGGCATGGTTGGCTCAAGGCAACGCTGGCAACCTCATGCAGGAAAGACCATCAAGTGTACTGCCGGCTTACTGCCGGTGCCAACACAGACCAGCATCATACCCGGCGCCGGAAGCCAATTCTGGGGCAGCTGCAGACGATCCATGGGAATCTGCAATCCTGCGCAAGACAAAGAATAGATGCCCTTTTTATTGCAGACAGGACTAGGTCACTAGGTGATGTGGAGCATCTGCCAAGTGCCAGTGGGTGCACGGCCTAGTAAAAGCGATCGGCCTGCAGGGTGGAGTTGGATCCTCTCTGCCAAGGCCAGGCCTGGCAGCCTGCGCTGCGTGCACAATCTGCATGGGCGCCTGCACTGCGCGACAGCGAGAGCCGCGTTGAGTATAGCAGCATGGGCAGCTTACTCCAGCTGCACGCCTGGAACTCGAGCAACTGTAGATAGAGTCTACACGAAGTAGCTTGGCTGCTACAGCTAAAATGCTAAAACACAGTTCGAAAGAATTCAATGGAATAAGCTCCCCCAGAGCCAGAGCTCCAACTATGCCCTCAGTGCGAGCAGAGCACGCTTTGGGGGGCGTGAAAATTTCACATCAAATGTTCCAAGTGGCAACAAAACCGTGATTCTGCGGAACCACCACGAATCGACATCGACCCCAGACTTGGACTCCCAGCAACGAAGACCTCCGAAAAAAATACACAGCTGGGGATCCCTCTCACCCCCTTGAGAGCCGGCCCGCTCTGCAACTCACAACGCAAAGTTGGCTTCCAGTGCTGAGTGTCGACAGAGTGTCTGCTGCTTGTGACAAACCCTTTCCCGGGGAGAGATGCATAGGTGGCTCGGTGTCGCATGCCATTTGAACCGCACCCAAAACAGTCGGGGTAGGGGTAAGAGTAGGGGGCGGCTTGCCCCCTCGATCCATGCACTTCTCCAACTACGCATAGTACATATACATACACATACATTTACAGCATGCATTTTACATACATGTACATACTCTTGTTTCATGTGCAGGCGTGTATATGCGTGAGGGTTTGGTATCGATGATACGCTATATGCTCACCTCACCGAGCGTCTTGTAATAAGTTGATAACTCTTGCCGATGTTGAACTCGTCGCACTCAACAATGTCC